AAATATTTATTACAAAATTTTTAAATTATTTTTAAGAAAAACTGACCCAGACGACTTTCAGTTAAGTCGTCTGGACGACTTATTTGAAAGTCGTCTGGGCAGACGACTTACGAGGGCTAGAAACGTAAAAAAAATTCGCGTTTTTTGTTTGTTCACAAGGAGTTGGTTGTAATTTCAATAGCCTTTTAAGTTACTTTTGTATTTGATTCAAGTTTGGGTTTACTTTTGCATTTCAAATCAAGTTTTGAGTCATATTTGGCAATTTTCCCTTAGAAAAATATCAAGTTTTATTTTTTGTTTTTGCTAAACATCAAGTTAAATATACAAGTGAAGTTATCTTTAATCCATTTACCTATGATCGACGTAGAGCTACATATATTGGATATAACTTATTGTTTTGATCATCATACATATTCTGAAAACACCCCTTCATGGATCTTTCTCTCGGTTTCAATATTCGGTATAGATCGATTCAGACCGAAAAAAAGATGGGAGAAATAGAACTTGGGAATTTATGAGGAAGCTTAGCCAAAAGAGCCGGAAATATAAACAAGAAAGCTACCCTCGTGACATGGCAAGGGATAGGAGGCCGTTGCAAATTGAAATTGTTTTTCTTTTCAATTTGTTGTACTACTATTAATTAACGAATTAACATATCTAAAGAAAAAGAATAACAAAGTTGTGTGGGGGAAGTTGGTTAGTAATGTGTGTTATATATCCAAAAGTGAGAGTAGGAGTTAATGTGAGTATTAAAGTTGCATCGGCATTCATCAACCTTCTCTTCTCCCATATTTAATTCTCTTTATTGTCTTCTCCATTTATTGACCTCAACTCTTCTTCCTACACATACTCCGTTATTATCATCATCATACGTGATGCATACATACACAACACACATGCACACAAGATCCATCCACCCATATGACTTCACCACCAATCTGTTTTTTGGTTCTATTTAAGAACATAAGCCAGTTAATGATGATGTATGATAGTGATGACGATATGTTAATGATGATGGTGGTAGAGGAGAAAGGCCAAAACAGACAGAGAAATTGGTTAGAACTTCACATCTAAGCCTTTAAATGAGACTGTTTGGAGTTATTGAACACACCCAACTTGGAACTCACACATCATGCTTCACATTATTTCCCCTCTTCTTTTTTTAATTCCTCCAAAAATCAAAAAATATCCAATTTAAAAATCAATAGTACGTAAATAATTATATATAATATATCAGCCATTTTTAATTCTTATATTCATATCTAATTCATTTACTCCATATGGACAGGTGGAGACATTAACTCCCCTGAAGATGTTCCTACATGCATATAAATAGAGAAGATTCACATATTTTTAAAACCCATCTGTTCATTTCCTCATAGGATCAACGAGAGATAGAGAGAATTTAAACTTACCTTATAAGCATAAATTACTCAGTGGAAACAGAAACTGAGCTTAATGGTTTCTCGACAAGAAGGAACCCTCTACTCCAGAAAGAGGGATTTTACCATATGTGAGGAGGAGTTTCACAATTTATCCAAGAAGAGCAAACAAGAAGATCAATCACAGGGAAAACTTCAGAGCAGTCTGTTCAATGAACGACCAAAACCAGAGAGTATGAGATCAGTTACCTTTGATTTTGAACTTCATCTCCACACTTCTATAGAGGCTAAGGTGTGTATTAAGTTCTTTGTATTTACTGTATATGTGTTATGGTATGCAAATAAACATATAAAACATGGATGCTTATAATTTTCAGGGATATTCGGGAGCATATGAGGATCATAGGACATACACCAAAGATCCGGTGAATGTTGGACGACCTAAGATAAGCCTAGACTTAGAGCTGAACCTTTCACCTTCTTACTCACCTTCACAAACCACAACGGAGACTGTGTCATCATCAAAGGGTAAAGACTGGACAAGACCGAGTAAGAAGGCAACAATTGGGAGAGGATTAAACCGATCACTGTCTTGGCTTGCTTTCGAAGGTGGTGATGATGATCACAAGGAGCAAGAGATGGTAACAAAAGTGTGCATGAAATGCCATATGCTGGTTATGCTGTGCACATCAACTCCTGTTTGTCCTAACTGCAAGTTCTTGTACCCACATGATCACAGCTCTACAAAACTGTTTAGACCATCAAATTTACTGAGACTCATGTGTTAGGCTCCTCAGGGGTTACTGGATCTATAATATGTGTACGGAATAATATGAGGCAGAGACTATGTATATATACTACAAGTACCAAACATTTTACTATTATGCTTTGTATGAAAAATATTTCATCTGTTTGTTCTTGGTTTAGATCTGCATTGAATTGTACTTGAGATATCACGCACACGGAATGTTACATGTCTATTAGATTTGCAAACTAAACATTTATTGATATTTGACTATACAGTATGTAATGCCAGAGTTCGCCAAAGAAAACTTTTGAGTGTAGTCACGATGGCTAATATCATCGGAGAATGAAAAAGGGTTAGTTATAAAGCTGGTATAAACCAAGTTGTTTGAATATGGTTTTACTTATAAGCTGAAACAGAACATAAAGCAAATATGATCAGACAGAGATTCAGAGCTGAGGAATGTTTTACTACAAGGACTCGTGAAACCAGAGAAGCTCTAAAATATTTACAGGTGGGTAACAAACAAGCTCTTCAACATTACTAGTTACTCCCCCAATTAACAAATGAGAAAGTTGATGCAATAGGAAACGTCTGTACAAATCACAAGGTGTGACCAATTTATTTATCGTCCAGAGAGTGTAGCAAAGAGCTTTAAGAGTATGGAGAATGGTTTTAGGATTTGAGCTTAGTGCTCAGATTCAACTCAGTCAAATGCATAGGGATCATCAGCATACGGATTGAGTGAGCCTTCTGAAAACAGATCTCCGAAGTTTGCAGAGCGTGGTGGATGACTGCTTATGGCTGCCACCTGCACATTTGAAAGACATTCTCTATGTTAAACACACTTTAAATGTGGTCAAATTCAAACATTCACCATTCTTCTTCATGCTTGCTTCACCTCTTCTAGTATAAGCCAACTTTAGTTTACTTGAGCGGGATTTATACATTACAAATAGTATTTAGTAAGCTTTTGTGGATCTATCTTTACCTTAGCGATATTTCTAGGGGTCTTGGCCTTGGGTGTAATCCGAGTAGATCTTCTCCTTGGCTCCTGTAGACATAAGAAAATGTGAATCCCAACTCAGTTGTTGAACATATCTGAATATTTAAGATGAACCAAGGGTTAATGCGCAGAATTGGTTACCTCGAACATGACTGTTGCTCCTGTTTTCCTACGTTTTGTGTTCCTCCCATCGTTCTTTTCAACTTCATATTCACGACGAGCCACCTGCCACGTTGAACCACAAAACCAATGTGGAGATTGGGAGGTGCGAAGTAATGAATAGTTATATAGGGGTTTTAAAATGCTTTACCTTGCTATGATGCTTTTGGCTGCTCATTAAGCTTCTCGTATTTGCAGTTTCGACTTTCTTCAACATCTTAGTCACAGGTGTTTCTGCTGCCTTTACAAAAGGTGAGTCCTGTATTTCATCCATGAGAATGTGTTTCTACGTGCAGACTTTTACAAAGCAGAAAATGTTTTATTTTTCTACCTGTTCATCGCCATCCAGCATCACTGTTGTATGCTTGCTTCTCCTGCTAGCAGGACGAGGAGCTCTCACTTTGACAGATGTAACAGAGTATTCCTACAGGATGATTAAGTTATCAAAACCAAAACCTGTTAGTGTTTTCCTACATGAGTAAATAAGGTATTATTTTACTTGACCTAGATGATTTGTGGTCTAACCTTCCTAGAGCTCACTTCTTGTTCTTCAGGTGCTTTGTCACTCATAACCCTCCACTGCATTTGCAACAAAGCTCTTTGCCTCTCTTCCTGCAACGATAACTCATTTTGAGCCAATAGGTTTTAAACCTTAACAGAAGCAACTTATATAATAAACACTTACTTTTGATCTTTGAAGATCTAATTCATCTTGCAGCTTCTTGCATTCATCATCGTACTGACACTTGAATGCTTTCAACTGAACATCATGCTCATTCCTGAGTGTTGTTATCCTCTGTGTGAAGATTAAAAAAAAACACCACTTGAATATTAGAGGCTTCATATCCCAACCAAACTATCAAATTATATCAATTAATACCTCTGTTAATTCAGTTTCAGCCTGAATCTGAGTTTGTCTCAATTCCTCATCGTGCTTAGCTTTGAGATTGAACTCCCTGTTTTCGTGTTCCTTCCGAATTGTAAGTATCTGTAGAACATGCAGATGTATCAGCCTATTTCTTAGTTAAACCCTGATCAACTATAACTTCGAAACAGAAAAGCCAGAGAACAGGGGACTTTGATTCAGATATCTGCATCTATTGCTACTAAAACCTATGATTTTGAGGGGTTGGTTCCTTCCAACACATGTATAAGCTTATTCACGCTTGGTGATGTTCAGAAACTTAAGGTTTAAGTGGAGATTACTTTACCAGAGAAGCATGATCCTCTTGGATGCTCAGCAATTGCTGCTTTGATTCGGCTTTACAATTTGAGAGTTCTTTATCATATTTAGCGGATAGTTCATTGATAACTGTCTCAACCTGAAATCAGGACCAAAAGCATCACAGAGCCATTATCAAATAATTGTTCGGACAATTGCAATACAAGATTGTCAGCATATACCTTTTCCTTTTCTTCATTAATAATCTCCTGCTTCTCATCATCATATTTCCTCCGGATATCATTAATGGCCTAAAAGCATCAGACAAAGCATATACGTCAAATTTTTGGGTGTGTTGTTATATTTGGATTAACCTTTGCATAGTATTCAAGCATTTATATGGAGAAAGTAATCCAGATATACCTGGTCATTCCTCTGAGATAACTCCTTCAAGTGCCTTGATAATTCCAACTGCTTGTTTTCCAGCATCAGAGCATGTTGCTTATTCGCCTCTAGAAGCTTAGTTTCAGCAGCTGCTAGTAGCTCCTTGACCTGCAATAGAGTTCATATATGATGAGTACTAAAAGGTGGATAATACTCATAAGCCTTGTCCAATATCTCAAACCTCTGTGGTTTTCTGGTCCAGCTTCTTCTCAGTTTCCTTGCATTGATTGATAAGAAGCTCTTTCTTTTCAATAACGCTTTGAAGCTGGTTCACCTCTTCGGACAATGAATGCACACGCAGCTGACTGCTCTCGCTCTCTTTCTGCAAGATCTCCATTTCCTCAGCCTTTCTTTGTGCATCAGCCTGAAGCTTCTCATGGTTCTCTTTACTTTCAAGCTCTGATGATGAAAGCTTTAACATCATTTCTTGCTGCGAGATACATGAAGAGATTAAGCAATGCAACTATGCATTGATGATTTTGACAGAGACTGCCCAAAGGGATGGAAGATATATCTACCGTCTTATTCTCTGAAGCCTTCAGTTTTTCCAACAAAGCTTCTATTTCCACTTTCAGTTTTGCAATTACTGCTTCTGACTCAGCATTTGTTGAAACTAGACATTTTGCTTCAGACTCTAGTTTTTCAATAGCCTGCCTTGCGGATGAGCGTTCCTCGGCAAGTTGGGAAACCAGTGACTCTTTAGCTTTCTTCAGTTCCTCTCTTTGTTCATATAACTCATTACCTGATGATTGCAGAGCTTCTTTCTGTAAGTTTACAGTCAAGAACTCTCTTTGGAGTTGATTGAATAATCTTTGAGCACGATCAGAGGTAAGATCTTTATCCTTTTGGAGCAACATAATGTGAGTGCCATATAAAGCATTTAGCTTATCAAAGTTTTCCATGAACTCCAAGTTCTTTTTGTCCAATTCAGCCAACTGACTTGCCAAAGAGTGGACAAAGCCCTCAAGCTTCTTAACCTCCTGGTCTGAGTTGATCAGTTTCTCAGATAGATTGTCAGCACTCATCCGTATATCCATATTCTCTTGTTCCAACTTCTCCTTGACGCCAACAAGGCATTTGGCCTCATCTTCTTTTGATGTTAACTCCACCCGCAGCTTCTCCATTTGGAAGTTCAAATTCTCAATCTTGAGTTTTGCTTCAGCGATAACTGCTTCAGAATTTACTATCATAGTATCTGCCATAAAGAAAGAAACATAAGAAGATTTCACTTAAATACCAATACTATCATATAGATAGATGTACACGTTCCAACAGGAGTACTTCAGTTTTATAAGTGTACATCTTTATTGCAACATTAAACAGAATTAGTATCATGTGGTCAGGGAAAAAAATCTTGTATAAAGTTGATACACACAACACGTCCAAAAAGGAGTAGTTAAGACCCGATACATAAAGAAACTTCGTATAACACAAGTGTGCGTTCCTTCGACTGTATATAAGCTAAGAGATCGCTATCCTGTTTCCATCTATATATAGTGAACACTCTTCAGAAACATTAAATTTGTCAACCTATTCGATGTACATGCTTAACCTATTAAATCAGATAACAGATGTGGTCTATTGCATGTGAGAAATGACACAGTGAATCGATAAGAATAAAAAAATTACCTTTCTCCTTTAAGAGACTGGCAGTTTTACATTGTTCACTAAGATAACAGTTTTCTTTCTGTTCTTTCTCGAGTCGCAGCTCTTCTAGTTCCTTCTCTCCTGCATGGTTGACTTATTAAATGTAACTAAAGTGTCTAACAATATCCAACAAAAGAACGACAGAGAAATACTGATAAATCACATAGCAGCAATTCAATCAGTTTCAAATTAAAGACTTTACTCTGAAAGAGAATCAACAAAACATGTCTGAGAACTTACGGCTTTTGATGTTTTCTTCAGCATCACCCAGTCTTAGAGATAGATCTTGCATCTGCTGCTTTAAAAAGTCAATTGTTTCCGCACTAGTAGAGAACTTGGACTCAAACAACTCCTTGTCCTTCTCCGCTGTATAGACAGTTCACGAAACAGTTAAAAACAAACAGTAATTCAACAACCAATGTGCATATCTACTATATATACCTTCTTGAACCTGAGAAGCCAAGTGGTGCAAAGTCTCAGTAAGTTGATCACACAGAGCCTTGGTTGAAGAAAACTTGGACTCCATCCCTCTCCAAAGCTTCTCATCCTCCTTTTGCATCACTCTGAGCTTAGCATTCTCGTTGAAAGCGTTCTGCAGCTTCTCCTCTAAAGCAAGTATTTGATCCTTGGATTTTTTCAACTTAGAATTCTGCAACATGAGGAGAACTTTTGATCAAATACATTTCTAGCTATATATCACGAGAATAACTTAACAATAAATCGAACAACTTGTTCCCGTCGATAATCCTAGCAACACCACACCACAATACATACCTCCTTAAGCACATCGATTCAAGCTTAAGTTCGTATAGAAAACGAGATAAGCAAGAATACCGCTAATTCGAGATCGGACTTCATAGACGCTTGTTCCTTCACCAATTTCTCTGAAAATCAGAAGCGAAGATCATTAGAACACTGCGATCTCAGAAACTATCGGAACGAAATCATCAATTCGAAGCTAAAACGAAACAGAGAAAGCAAACCTGCAGTGAGCTTCAGATTCGAGAAGTTTCCTGAAGAGAAGGAATCGTGAGGTTGACGAGAGTAGGAGAAGGAGGAGAGATTCTTCGCGGATCCAGCCGCCATCGACGATCGGATCTGATCCAAGCTTTTCATCGCTGGAAACCCTAACTTCTGCATTTTTCGAGAGTTCGCGATCAAAAATCGTAACCGTCACTTTTTTTCCCGCGCTCTCGTGTGAGAGATGATTAATGGAAAATGTAGTTGGCGGTAAAGCCGTCTGATATTTTTATATCGTTAGAACCGACTCAGGCCGGCATCCGCACAACGGCTAAATGATATGTGCTGACGTCAGCAAACCGCTTGAGTAAAGAGGAGCCAGGGTTTGGAATTATCTCATAACTAGGTGATTTTCCCGTGCTCATGCACGGGTATGAATATTTATAAAAGTAAAATTTTATATTAATTGATTGATATTTAGTTTTAGTTTTGAATCAATTTATATGTATAATTTATATTAATAAATATTATATTATTCTAATTATACATATGACTTTGGATATATTATTGTCGGTTTAATTATTTTTTGGATCAATAGTCGGTTTGGTTATCAATTTGGTATATTGGATAATATCTATTTTTCGAGTTCAACTATAATATTTTTTGTTCTAAATATAATAAAATTTTGATTAATTTTCTTATTTTCATTTTGGTTGGTTATTGTCTTAGATATGTAAATATATTCTTAGATATGTAAATATATTATAGTTAAATTATGTATAAGTTAATATATATTGTGCTTAAGATGAAATAAATAATAAGTTGAAGTGTTTGATGCAAAATTACATAAATGAATATAATGATAATATTTTGAAGTCTCATGCATATATATAAATTTTACAAAAGAATTAAATTGTAGTTGGTTAATATTTTCTTTTTCTTTTTAATATGTTTTGAGTCAACCTCTAATTTATACGTATAAAATTAAATATATTATTATTATTATTATTATAAAATTATATGTTCTTATTGTAGTTAGATGTTATATAAATTAGATTAGTGGAGTCGTTCATTTTGTGAGTATATATTAAGTTAAATATATTTTTAAATTAAAATTGAAGTATAATTACTTTTTATTTTAAGTAAAATCAAATTAGTTTTATTTATCGCTTAAATATACATGTATTTTCATAATATTTTATTTACTTTTTATTTTAGTTAAGTCAAATCAAATTAGTTTTATTTATCGTTTAAATATAAATGTATTTTCATAATATTTATCAATTATATGTTGATTTCTAAAAAATATTAGAAAATAAAGTGTAACTGATAATTTTTGGATGTTCATGAATATATATATTTTTAATATTTTTAAAATATATTTTATGTTTTAAAAAATATATATTAATTGGGGTATTACTATTTTGTGAACTTTCCTTTTTAATAAGTCATATTTTATACATAAATTTTCGTTTTTAAATTTGTTTTATAATATTAGTAATATTTCCTTTTTATTATATATGTTATTTGGAAAAAAAGTAAAAAAGAAACTAAATAAAAAAAAATATAATAATCTTAAATTCTAACAATTCATTAAGGGTATCTATGTAATCAACCATCGCGAGAGTTAACGTGAGCGCGACACATAGGAAACTGACTTCTTAAATAATATTATAGAGATTAGTCCAAACGTTGCCTATAACTACACAATTGATACGAAGTTACATAAAACTACATTGTTAGTACTAAAGTTACAAATAAAATGAATAAATTCAGAATAAAAAACAATTCTAAATATTTAGTTTTAAAAAAAAACTGATGTATTATGAGAATTATTACATTAATCTCTACAATCAACAAATTTACTTACTATATGAAAATATATGTTGAATAATTCTACTGATACTGTACTTAAACTGATTTATAAAAAATTATGCCTGAAAATTATTCACAATATAATTTTTATTTATATTAATTTATATAATTGATAATAAATCATTTTCGAAATCTAAATTTAAAATTCTTTATTAGAAAACTCAAATTTCTTAGATTTTAGTAAAAAAACATCAATAAATATCTACTTTAACATTGGATTAAAATATTTTTCAGGGTACTGTCTATATTAAAATCTTTTTATGCCTGTTTACTATAAAGATTATGAATATTTAATTAACTATTGATTGCTATCTTTACATTTTTTCATTTGGTGCCATAAACAAATTAAATCAGAAAATCCTTGATAAGAATATCTGGTACGTGGGGGACTCAATGTTCCATACTGCCCAATGGTCGTCTGCGCATTCTTCAAGTTCTCCTCCTCTCAGCTCCATACAGATTTGGGCTCATCTTACTAGTGTTCTGCTCGATCTTCGTTACCAACAAGGTCTCAGTCTTGTTGCGGGTCTGGTTGGAGAACCTAAGGAGACTGATGATTTTACTCTAAATCTTGTGAGTCTTACTCTATCTCATGTGAAGGTTGAAGTTGATCTCACAAAGCCTCTTCCCAGCGTTGTCGAGTTTGTAAGGCAAAGTGGTGAGGTTGTAGAAGTTCAAGTAGAGTACCCGTGGTTGCCTCCAACGTGTTCTCATTGTCATGAGCTCGGACATGTGGTGAGGAATTGTCTGACTTACACTCCACCAAAAGCCCCTCCTCCTCCATCTCAAACTCAGACTATTCCTCCAGCTCCGGCTTCGGCTGCAAGTTTGAAGAAAAGTGTTTCAGTCACTCAGACAAAAACTCCGAAAAAACCTAATGGGAATAAACAATATGTTCCTGTCAAAAAGGTGGTCTCCATTTCTACTATTCAAACCCAAACTAAACCTGCTCTTCCGTCCCATTCAGTCTCTCTTCCATCTAGTCATTTGGCTCTAAAAACCATTCATGTTGCCCCCCCTCGCTGATCACATTGAAAGTCCTTCTGACAAACCAACTAAACCATCTCTAAAAAGATCCCGTTCCTCCCCTTATTTTTCGCCCCCCTCTCAGCCTAAAATTTCCTACCAATCCTCAATCTCTTCCAAAGTCTCTCTTTTTCCAGAGGTTGGTACTCTAAGTTTTCTAAAAAATTCTCCTTTCATTGGTCCTTCCCTAAATAACCCTTTTTTACCACTGCTTAATGTTGACTCTCTCCAGCCTGCTGGGGAAAAAAAACTTTCTTCCTAATGAATGTAAAACTCTTTTTTTGGAACGTCCGTGATTTAAATGATCCGGACAAACATCGGCCTTTTTTGGATTGGCTCTATAGCCATAGACCTATTTTTGGTGCTCTTTTGGAAACACATATCAAGGAACTTACTCTACCCCGGTTAATGAACACTCTATGTCGAGACTGGTACTACCTCTCTAACCACTTATCTGACGAGGATGGACGAATAGTTATCATTTGGAAGGATCCAGCAAAAGTTCGTATGCTATCTCAATCGAAACAAATGGTCACCTGCGAAGTTGAGCTACCTAACTACCCTCCTTTCATCTACTCTTCTATCTATGCGTCTAACCTAAGTGGAGAAAGAACAGACATGTGGGTTGAGCTCTTGACTATTCATTCTGCTCTCTCTCTGGATTCGAAACCTTGGATGATTGGTGGTGATTTTAATCAGATTCTCCATAGCCATGAACACTCAGCCCCTGGTAGTATCTGTCCCTCGTTGATGTATCAGTTACGTGATAGCCTGCTACAGTTGGGAGTCTTTGACCTTCGCTATTATGGACCGGTCCATACCTGGACAAATAAGCGTGATGAAAACCCTATAGCAAAAAAAGTTGATAGATGCTTAATCAATAGTCAGATTCTTACCTTTTTTCCCAATGCTACTGCAATGTTTCTTCCCCCAGCCCTGTCAGATCACTCTCCCTGTCTTACTGACCTTGCTCTTCAGCTCCCCAAAGCCGGTACCCAACCATTTAGGTTCCTAAACAACCTAACCAAACACCCGAGCTTTCAAGAGGTTGTCACAGATGCTTGGTCTCTCGCCGGAAACGTGTCTGGAACCTTTGCGTCTCTGTGTTGGAAGCTGAAAAATATCAAAAGGAGTTTGAGAATTCTAAATAAAGACAATTACTCTAATATCCAAAAGAGAGTGAAAGAGACTTACGATTTGTTACAACTTGCGCAAGTACTAGCTCTTACGGATCCGACGACTCAAACTTTTGCTGAAGAACATGAGCTGAACCTGAAATGGCAATTTTTAAGGCAGATAGAAGAGTGTTTTTTCCAGCAAAAATCGAGAATAACATGGCTTCGTGAAGGAGATCTGAATACCACTTACTTTCACCGTGTTTGTCAGGCTAGGGCTACCTACAACGCAATCCGTTCCTTCCTTCTTCTCTCTGGTGTCATCATTACTGATCCGATGGAGATGAGTACTCATGCTATATCTCACTTTAAAGCTGTACTAGGCCCGGATTGCTTGCCCTCTTACTGGTTCACTCCTCAAGGCTGGTTCCATACTCTATCGTCATTCAGATGTACTCAGCAACAGTTTGGCACCATTCTCTTGATGCCTACGACAGAAGAAATCACCAAATTCTCTCTTAATCCAAATAAAGCACCAGGACCAGACGGTCTTACTTCAGCTTTCTTCAAGGCTTCCTGGTCTTTGCTTGGTCAAGAATGTATTGACTCCATCCAGGAGTTCTTCAACTCGGGGTTCCTGCCAAAAACAACAAATTCAACAATCTTATATCTGGTCCCTAAATTTGCAGGAGCTTCTAAAATTACCGACTACAGACCTATCTCCCTCTTGAACACAATCTATAAGGTGATTTCTCGTCTTCTGGTGCGACGCCTCAAGCCTATCCTGCACCAATTAATTTTGCCAAATCAGACAGCATTTGTGGAAGGAACATTACTAGTGGAAAACACGATGTTAGCGAGTGAATTAGTGAATGGTTACCATAAAAATAGAGGGTCCAAGAAAATCACCATCAAAGTGGACATTGCTAAAGCCTTCGACACTCTTTCTTGGGACTTCCTTTTCTCAGCTTTGGAAAGTTTAGACCTCCCTGCTCCTTTTATCCGTCTGCTGAGAGCATGTATCTGCTCAACATCATTCATGGCTGGTTATAACGGAACTGGAAATGGATATTTCAAAGGAAAGCGAGGTCTGATGCAGGGAGATCCTCTCTCTCCTTACCTATTTGTAATAGCCATGAACTATCTGTCTTTGATGCTGGATAAAGAAGCGAGGTCTGGATATTTTTCATACCACCACAAATGCCACAAGACGAAACTGACGCATCTTTCCTTCGCGGATGACTTGTTGATTTTCATCGATGGGTCAATAGAATTTGTGCAAAGAGTCCTCCAGATACTGCATGAATTTGAAAAGAGATCAGGGCTGGCAGTGAGTATGCAAAAATCAAGTTTTTTTGCCTCGGGACTTACCGTTCAAGAAGTCGATGTTATTCAAGTTTCTACTGGTATGCCATGTGGAAGTCTTCTATGAGGTACTTGGGTGTTCCGCTGTGTACGAAGAAACTCAGCTTGCAAGATTGCGAACCCCTCCTACAGCAAACAAAAAAGCACCTCTCCTTATGGTCCGCCAAAGCTCTCTCCTTTGCAAGGAGGTTACTTCTTATCAAGACGGTGATAGCTGGTGTGTCAACTTTCTGGTGCTCGAGTTTCATCCTGCCTAAGTCCTGCATTAACAAGATAAATTCACTTTGTGGGTTGTTTCTATGGAAAGGGAAAAATGAAGGGCACCATGGGGCAAAAGTAAATTGGGAGACAGTAACTCTTACTAAAGAGCAAGGAGGCCTTGGTGTTAAAGATCTTCGTGTATATTGAAGCTAATCTGGATGCTGTTTTTTCGACCGAACTCGGTGTGGGTCTGTTGGTTCAAAGAAGTTGTATTAAAAGGTGATACCTCAAATTACTGGTCAATCAACACAAGCAGTAACTACTCATGGCTAGCAAATAAGATGATAAAGGCTCGTGACATCATTTACCCGCTTTTGAGAAGACATGTGGGCAATGGCGAGTCGACAAGCTTTTGGTTTGATCACTGGACTCCACTGGGGAAGCTCTACACTCTGCTTAGTGCTAGCTCATCAAGGCTGGGAATACTGAAATCTGCGACAGTCACATCTCTTTTTAGAGGAGGGAATTGGTCTCTTCCACCAGCCAGAACTGAGAATCAACTTGCTTTGCAGGTACATTTAACGACACTTCAACTTTCTGATACTGCCGATTATAATGAATGGGTGATTGATGGGAAATTAAGAGCCAAATATAACACGGGAGAAGTCTATACTTACCTAAAAGGTAACCAACATCACGTTCCATGGGCTAAGGTTGTCTGGTTTTCCTATGGTATTCCGCGGCACAGCTTCTTAACTTGGCTTGTCTTGCTTAACCGTTGTCCTACTAGAGACAGACTAATCAGATGGGGGTTAAATGTTGAGGATAAATGCTTGCTGTCATGTGATACGGGACTGGAGAGTCGGAATCATCTATTTTTTGAATGTACTTACAGCAATATCATCTGGACAATGATTGCGGCTCGATGTAATCTGTATCCGACCACTTCTTGGGAAGACACACTTCATCAACTTCAATCGTTCGGTGGAGATAGAGATTCCCAGCGACTCTCCCTTCTTGCTAGTCAAGCCACAATTTATTGGATCTGGTCAGAGCGCAACTCCAGGCTTCACCGTCAAGTCTTCAAATCGGCCCAAACTCTCTTTTCCTCCATTGATAAACAGGTTGTCAATCATCTACAAAGTTTTCGTCATGCAAACTCCAGAGCTTCTTCAGCGATGACTCAACTATGGTTCCTGCAGGTCTTACTTCGTGGGTTTTACTTCTTGGGCCTATTGGGGTATAGTTCTATTGTTATGTGTTTCCATTAGAGCATTCAACTGGGTTAAATCCAAAACAAAACTAAAACCTTTGGACTGTATGTTTTTATTTTCTTTTCTTTAAATTAATGAAAGCCATTTTACAAAAAAAAAAAAAAAAAAAAATTAAATCAACCCCGAAGACCCAAGAACGGTTCGACCGGTCCAAAACCACTCAATTACCCGGTTCACAAACCATCTCTTAACTCTACAACTTCTAAAAAGAATATTCTTCACTCATTATCCAAATGTCAGGACTCAACATCCATCCTCACGATCTCTCATCTCCTTCCAGCTCCAGCGACCTATCCAATGAACCTTTCTTCATCACAGGAGGTCTCTTCCTCGAACCAACAGACCTCTCCTCTTCCTTCTTCCACTTCATCTCCTCCAAATGCCTTTTCTCAGACTCAAAGCCTCTGCATTTCACCAGGAAAAACCAAACCCGTCTCCGTTCCGACAAGAGCTTGCTGTTCCTGTCCGTGAGCTTGAGTAAAGAGGAACGAACAGTAGTTTCCAATGGAGTTAGGAGGAGAAGAAATGGGACCATGAACACAAGGAAGCATCTCTGGGCTGGTGCTGTAGCTGCCATGGTTTCAAAGTATACATCTTTTCCATTAGGACAGGGCCGGTCTTGAGATTTTGAGGCTGTGCATGGTTTATAAAATGTTTTAGTAACTTTTTTTTTAATAAATTTATGAAAAATTTGGGACATTAAACAAATGTTTCACTTGGTTACTCTGCATACAAGTTTGACTTTACTTTCACTAATGTGTTGTTTTTCTTGTTGTTGTTGTTGATGTTAGGACTTTCTTAGCTCCACTTGAGAGACTAAAGCTGGAGTATACAGTTCGTGGTGAACAGAGGAACTTGTTGGTTGTGGCTAAGACGATTGCGACCACTCAAGGGTTTAGAGGGTTTTGGAAAGGAAACTTGCTCAATGTTCTAAGGACGGCTCCTTTCAAAGCCATCAACTTTTGTGCCTACGATATGTATAGAAAGCAGTTGATTAGACTAGCTGGGAATGATGAAGCTACTAATTTTGAGAGGTTTGTTGCTGGTGCTGCTGCTGGGATTACTGCTACTGTTCTCTGCTTGCCTCTTGACACTGTATGTTCTTCCTTCTTTTGGATCAAAAATGTTAGACGTTGTCATTACTGTCTTTCTTTGGAGCAGAGCATTTAGTTTTGGACAGGACAGTAAGAACATTTAGTTCTTCTACTATGTAGATAGGAACCAAACTAGTGCCATTTGACACTTTAGGCTATTACTTGGTTTGACTATTTTAGATCAAAGATGAGAGGTTTGTATGTTTAGAGTGACATAAAGGTCAAGCATTACTGTCTTTCTATAGAGTTGAGCAAGGGACATGATAATAATAACATGCACAGAGCCGGTCCTGACATAGCTAGATGAAACATGTGCATCATGCCCTAAAACTTTAGTGGTTAATATCTATCGATCATTAGCCTCCAAATTGATTAAGACAAATATGTATTGATCATTTAGTAATTGTTTTAAGCTTTATAAATCTCAGGACCGCCCTGAACATGTATGTGGGAGGGAAACATTTTGATTAAAATGTGTATGTGTATTGACTATTTAGTAATTGTTTCAAGCACTATAAATCTTTAGACTGGTTCTAAACATGCATGTGGGAAACATTATGATTAAAATGTGTTCTTTTTGTTGCATTAGATACGAACAAAACTAGTGGCTCGGGGTGGAGAAGCCTTGGGAGGGATCGGAGGAGCGTTCAAGTACATGATCCAAAACGAAGGATTGTTGTCTCTCTACAAAGGTCTAGTCCCATCAATAGCAAGCATGGCTCTCTCCGGTGCAGTTTTCTATGGCGTTTACGACATCCTTAAGTCATCCTATCTGCATACACCAGAAGGTCGGAAGAGACTAAAAGACATGAAGCAGCAGGGGCAAGAACTCAATGCTCTGGACAAGCTCGAGTTAGGACCTATAAGAACTCTCTTGTATGGTGCTGTAGCGGGTGCTTGTACTGAAGTAGCTACGTATCCTTTTGAAGTAGTGAGACGGCAGCTTCAGATGCAGATTGGTAGAGACAAGTTGAATGCTTTAGCTATGGGGTTTAATATCATTGAAAAAGGAGGGGTGCCTGCTTTATACGCTGGGCTTTTACCTAGCTTGCTCCAGGTATGCATAATAGTTTTTTCTGTTTGTTATTTACCAAACTCAATGTGCATTTACATAGCTTGATTTGTTGTTGTTCCATCTGTTTCATGTCTCCAGGTCTTGCCTTCTGCTGCAATAAGTTACTTTGTCTACGAGTGTATGAAGATAGTGCTTAAAGTAGAATGACAAGAAGATAACAATGCAGTGACAGTTTTGTTCTATTTTTAATCTTTTGAATATTGAAAATGAAAATACAACTTATTTCATAAACATCATCATCTTCACAGATTTGGATCATATTCTTTTCACTGTATATAAATAAATAAGTATTTTTTAAAAATAGTAACCACAAAGTAAAAATAAATAAATCTAGATTCTGTAAAATGGGAACTCATGAAACCAGATAAAGAAACTTCACCGGTGGTCTTACGTCCCCCGGAGATATATATATAGATTTCATCTTCTTACTCCCTTTCTTCTTCCCCGTATAGCCACCACAGTTCAATGATGTGAGACTTGGAACAAAAATAAATTTTTAAAAAGTGGAGAAAACCTGTTGTCTATGTCCTTGTTCTTGTTCAGATTGATTGTCTCTTGGCGACTGGTTTTTGGCAGATGAGAAGTCTCTGTTCACTGCTGCTTTCAACCTCTATGACTCTAGCTTCCCACTTCAACTGCGTTGTCAAAGCTCTGGCTGCTTCCACCAGGTGCGCCGTGTCACGGATTATCACCCATCCCTGCACCATAGTTTTTGTTTTATTGTATTGCCCCAAGAACATATAATAATAGTTTTCTTTCAGAGTCAAAGACAAGACAATGTGTGTGTGTGTACCTCTGGACGAAGTAATCTATCAATCTCTGTCAATATTTGCATATGCGAACATGAACTCCTGCGCTGACTTTCCTGAAGAGTCAAAAGGTTGTCTGCGTGGACCAGATCATATGTTCTCGGGTAACTCGGGAATGCTTCACACCTGAAGTTATTACAAAGACAATGTTGAGAAACTATTCTGTAGTGTAATGAGAAACTTTTTATGTTTGTGACTCACCAGTCGTGTAAAACTCCGACAAAGCCACGGTCAAGGATCATTGGGAGGTGGTTTGGTCCAGCTGTAGGGACAACATTCATGACCCAAACCGATTTCTTTGCTTCCAACAACGCGGAGTTGAGCCCACCGAACTGAGCATTCATGTCCAAAACGTTTCTAAGCATGTTATAAGGAGGTGAAGGATCTTCATCTCCGGGTCTCTTGGGATGGTCAGAGAATATCAGAGGAGACAAGAGAGACCAGTAGTCTCTTACGTTTAGCTTCCAATTCGCTGCATCTTCTCCAACCTCCTCCTGGTGAAGACCTGAACAAAACCAACACCAGGGATCAACAAAAGATGGATTCAGAAGGTAAATTATAATGAAGGAGACTAACCGTATAGTGAAAGTTCAGTCTTGTTCATGTTAGATCGGCTAGGCCATCTTGTCCTGCCTTCAATGGGAATCCACCTCCGGCTACGTGTTCCGCCAAGACACATCTGAAGTGGCTTGTAATAAGGAGACTCAACGTCGTGCCCTTTGGAGCACACAGAAGGTCCCACTCCAGGTTTCCTGTTTTATTGGACATATAAGATTCCATGTAAGAAGACTTGATAACTAGTTACTTTATATATAGTGGTGTGTGTGTGTCACTGACCGGGCACTGTAACATTTGGTTTTGATTGTCTTTTTCCAGACAACTGTCTTGTCTTGCTGAGATAAAAGAGTCCAACAGATGCTTTCAGCAAAATCATGAACAAAGTTCCATCTCTTGAGATCCTCTTTGTTACGAGCGTTTGTGAGGGGAGATGTCCAAACAAAGTAGCCTCCAGGCTTCAGAACTCTGTCCACTTCCACAAGGAGAAGCCCCTCTGTACACACAGGAATTCAAACTCACATCAAGGCCAGGTCCTCCAAGTAAAATGAGATTAATACTTTCTTACTGTGTTGTTACCTTTCTGGTCCCAGTCAATACCACATGTTGAACAATGCAACATATCAAAGGAAAGAGAAGGATATGGCAATTGCTTTGAGTTAAAAGAAGCAATCATCGCAGGTAAACCCCTCTCAAGTGTTAGCTGAACTTGGCTACCTGAGGCTTCATAGTTTGCTATGCACATGGTTAAGAGCTGTTTTGAGAGTAGATGTGCTCCAAAGCTACCATAACCACATCCAATATCCAATATAGTTCTCACCTGAAAACAAAACCAAGAAAGATAATAACTTATAAGAAGCTGAGCTATGAGAGAGATCAAAGATGAACTACAACCATGGCCAGATCTAAGATTTAGAAGGCCATAACATTTTCAGGTTAATCTTAGTTTTAAAAAATTCAAAATTTTAGGGGTCACGCCAACTATGTATATTAGTTATTTAAAATTCGAAACTTACACCAGCTTCAATGAAGTTATCATTCTTAATCCCAATCATTTGAGCAATCTGATGTGAATAGTCTTCAACCTCATCAAACATAGGAGACGCAGAACGAAAAGATATCTGATCATCATCCATCATCATCATCCTGTAAAAGAAAAAACCAAAGCTCAATAATGAAACCATACAACCATAGCCAATAGAAAAGTAACAACAATGCATCATCATCATCACCTCTTGTTGATACTACCAGAAGTCAACACTTCCTCAGCAGTAATCTTAACATTACGAAACCATATAACATCTTTACCCGTAGGCCACCTAAGAGGAACCTTATAATCCACAGGTGGCAAAACCAAACACTTCTGATGTTTCAAACCAGACCCACAAAACCGATCGGTTTCATCACCATTGGTGTAACCCAACGCAAGATTCTCAGAGACATTAAAGCAAGGAACATAGTTCTCAGCTTCCGTATCACAATACTCCAACTCTTTCCACCTGCTGGGACCAACAGAGATCTCACCAATATCCAACAAATCCGAAACAAGCTGCTGCTGTAACCTCCTGTAGTTATGATACACAGGACCACCTCTCGGTGACGCCGAGATTGAGATAGTCCACCAGAAGGAACCGGCTAAGGCAAGAACCACGATAAGAACCAAACTGATCTTGAGAAAGAGGAGAACCAATCTGTGTCTGCTCCTTGGATCACCGTCGGTTTTGGAAGGAGATTGGTTGTTGTTAAAGAGGAAAGCAAAAGGGAACCTCAAGGTTAAGTTGCTGTCTGTAGAACGGCCTCTGATCAAATCTGATTTGTCTTTCATCTGAGAGTCTCTTAGATCATCACTGCTGTCGGAAACTCGTACTCCTCCTGAGATGCCACGTTGCAGTGGCATCGACGACATGTTGAATGAAGATCACTGTTTATTAAAAATAAACCCTAATTAGATATTATAAGAGATTCGGACAAGAGTCAGATTGAGTTGTGTAATAATTATTGTAATCGATCTGAATATCTGATGATTGAAACTAATGTTCTGTCTGAAAATTTATTCAAATTTTTAAATGTTAATAAGATTCGGATCTCTTCCATTCGATCATAAAACAATAAAAATTTCGAATTAATCATCAGCAGATCCATGGATTCTGGGCGGAGATGATCGAATCAGCTCGACGAATCTCGGAAAACATTGAAATCTAATCATAATCGAATCGAAACAAAGTGAAGAAGAGACGAGAAACCTTGTTTTTGTGTTCTTGGAGCAGAAGATACAGAGTGTATTTACAAAACGACTGTTCTTCAATCTTCTTCTTTGAGTTAGAGAGAGGGAAGCTATATAATATTATCTACGAGTTGAAACTCAGAGAGAGTGTTGTGAGGGGAGAGTGAAGAAGCAGCAGCAAGCAGCGTCGTGTATGGATCTAATCTCGACACAAGCTCCCTGAGAACTGAATTATTAACAAAATAGTAAGAAAATAATTAGCTGAAATTAAGAAATGCTTGCTTTGGCAGTCTCTCGATTACCATTTTTTTTATTTATAAACAATAGAAAAAAAAAATATTAGTGGAATAATCTCTACTCTCGCTTTGAATAAATAAAAGGGAAACTCTTCTCTCTGTATTTATTTTATTTTATTTTTTGGGTTTTATCATATCACCGTATTTAAGGGAGAGAAAGAAGAGAAGCTTCACATGGATACATGTCTAATTACTATCATGTATTTAAATCACGCTGTGTTTTATTTTAATTTAATTTAATTGTTGACCTTTTTCTCTCTCTCTCTTCTAACCTTTGGCGGTGCATAAAAACAAAGTATATTTATTGACTATTCGAATTTAATTTTGAGTAAATTCGACTGAAGAACTAGGAACATGTTTAATAGTAGTAATTTTTTAAAAGCTTAATGTTGAATAGTGGTTGACAAATTAAAACCTAGAGATGCCTAATACTACTAACTATAGTAATATAATTCTACCCATGGTACTTACTTTGTGCTAGGTGTCTCACATGCTTCTCTTAAATGTTATTTTGTCGGTAGTTAGTGAATTTTTTTACGTTAGATGACGATAATTTGTTTCGTAGCCTTAATGACATTTACATGAACAACGTGAATTTCAGCGGACAAAAAGATCACCATTTTATTTTTTTAGTTAATACTAATATATTTGAATATCATTACATCGTTCTTATATCATCGTCAAAAATATTATTTCCGATAAATAATGTTTCAGGTTTTAGATACATAGGTAAGTGATTATATGAATGAATAAAATGATAGACTTAATAGTTTTTTTCTTTAAAAAAATAGTTTTATTACATAAAATAAAGTGATACCTAATTTTTTTTTTGTGATACCTAAATTTTCTTATTTATGTTTCAATTTATTGCATATTTTAGTTTTTACACATATATTCCCTTTGTTTCTAAATAAGTGTCACTTTAGCCATTTAATTTTGTTTCAAAAAAAGTGTCATTCTACAATCCCAATGTAATTTTGTACATTAAATCTATTTTTTACTCTTTTGAATAACCAATAGTATTTTACTTAAATTATTTTCATTTAACTAAACATACATTAAATAGGGATATATTAGTCTATTATACAATTTTCTTTATTTATGTGCAAAGAGTCAAAATGACACTTATTTAAAAACAGAGGAAGTATTAATAAAACACAAAATAAATATATAGTTTTCCGTGATTATTATTTTTCTATAAAACTAAACTAATGAAAATCCAATAAATGCAGTTAAATTTTTTGAAGTGTAGTTAATTATTATTATAATTATAATTTGATAAAATATATTTTGAAAATGTAAACAAATGCATCTTTTTGAAATAATTATTTTTATAAATAGAAGACAAATAAACAATCTTTATTTTAAAGAATATAGATGGGTTTGAATAATTTTGACTTTGTATACTGTTATAGTGATGATACAACGGTGAACTGGAAATACTCTAAGTCCGTGTTTGTTTGGTATTGAAATCTCAGTCATATTATATTTGTCTTTATTAGTTTAGTATTTTTTCTTCATTTTAAGTTTTCTTTTATTTTGATGGCCAGTTATTTGATGGTTCATTGGTTCATGCACCTTTATTTAATGGATTTATAATCTGCATGTACCGTAAAACTAAATAAAGTGGAAGTGGCCATGATAAGGAATTTTTACATTTTGAAACTCCTTGGATACGAACAAAAATAATTTCTGTACATTTTTGTATATGTTTGTACTCGTCGTGGAGAAAGATACCACGCATGGTTCGGACAAATATCACGTAAATGACAACGCACGAGTTACGAGTATAAAGCCTCGTGTAAATTTATGAATTTTATTGGAAGAATGTACTAAAACACATGAATAAAATGGGATCAGGTTGCTCAACAACATTCCAATGTGCAAAGAGACAACATCTATACCCTTCCATGTTTGCAATTTATTGTGTTTGGGGGAAAGGTATACTTCTGTTGACTAAACAAACAAAAAGTCCTTATAACAAAGAGATAAAAAAAAACATACATTTTGCGTTTAAACTAAACATTAACAACTACTCCTTCCGTCTTATATTTAAAAAAAAGTTTCACAGTGAGACATTTTTTTATCTTTTCAATTTATTATTTAATGATAATATAAAATTAAAAAAAAAATATATATATATATATATACTGAAACTCGTTTGATTATAATTACTTATGAAAATAGTTAATTATAAGAAAATAATGTATTACTAATTAATATGTAATGTGCTTCCAATGTGTAAAAATTCTAAAATCTTACCTATCTTGAAACAGAAAATATTCTTCTTGTGATAGTATTTTAAATATTTTGAAGTATTAGCAAGATTAATTATACTATATTTTTATTTAATAATAAATAATAAATTAAAAAATTATACTGAATTTTTAATTATAAATTATGAAAAGAATTTAATTATAAGAAAATAATGTATTAATAATTAATATTTAATATTTTTAATGTGTAAAAGTTCTAAATCTTACTTATTTTGAAACAGAGAGTATTCTTCTGTTGATGATGTTTTAAATATTCTGTGACCACTTCTATATATTATCCAGTCTACAATTCTTTTGGGACTGGTTTACTATCCAGTCTACAGGTATCATAAATTTTAGCAAAATTAATTAATTATACTATATTTTGGGGGTAAAGCGAGATGTAAATAAATGTTTTTTTTAATATGCATGGTATAACACAATAAAAATATGAAAAAATCATATACATATGATGAAAATTAAGTGCAATTTATTTGTGATTCAAGTTAAAACTAGACTGGTATATTTTGTAACTAAACCTGTAGTTTTTTTTATTTTTTTGGGGGGCAAAACTAAACCTGTAGTTTAAAAGTAAATACTTACATACAGATAAAAATAGACATATAGTAGTAGTATTAGACTGTTGATCTAATCACCCCGAGCTCATAAACGCGAATTAAAAGTACGTAGGTTTCTTCATGACATTTTTATTAAAGCGGTTTCTTAACTACTTAATCAGCCGGAAAATCAGAAGCTAATTAAGTAATTAACTGCACTATCAGTTGTCTCGCATCCTGTGCCATCGTATTGTGTGAATGCCACAAATGCATGTACATACACACGTATTGGTGTGTATATTGTCTATATATTTTTACGTTTTTAAAAAATTAAGATTGCGAAAATAGTTATTAATTTTTGCGTTCTTGTATGAACTAATTTGTTGGATCAGAAATCGACCATAAATAGTATTGAAGAAAAAAAATTAGCGTATTTAAATGTGAAATAAAATAGATAAAACGGAAAATGTGGAACCCATTCAAAACGCGGTTACATGTCGGTGGCTCATCACTTCCGACGTGGCGGATTTGATTGTGTCTGTATACAGAGGATCACATTCTTTTTTCTGAAACCAGATGTTTGGGTACAAGGGTAAGATTAGAATAAACGTGGATATGTTAAGTGTGCACAGTGTTCGAGTTTCCTTGTGTAAGCGGACGGTGACGAAGAAAACTTCACGGATCCGTTAATCTGTTGGATCACATGAGAATAAGTGATGTTCAGCTATATTATTATTATTATTATTATTATTATCTCACTTCCTTGTTTATAAAGAAAATATGCGATTATTTACTATGTCAGGGCTGGTCCTGAATCAAACTTGTTGAAACATTTGTTTTAGGTACCCAAAATTTTTTAAAAATTTTATATGTATATAAGCTTCCAAAAAAAAATTTAAATCATCAAATTAGTTAGAAAAATTTTGTAGCTGAAATTATTTAAAATAGTTTAGACCCTTAAAATCTTAGAACTGGAGCCGAGCCGGCTCTACATGGAATAATATTAGTAATAGATACTGTATTAATTAAAACGCATGCAAAACAAAAACAAAAACAAAAGAGTAAGAAAAATCAGAACTGAAATGGTTCTACCGACGAGGCTGAAAAATCCTATTTGTTATTAACATGTGATTTTTATGCGATTAATAAAAAAAATTTCAACTTGTTTCCAATGTATGGTAGGTCGTCTTTGCCAACTTGTAATTGATCAGAAATTTGTTTGTGTGTACAAACATTTTGGTTTTATATATATAGGTATAAAACAACGTAACAATCGTAGTCAAAGATGTCACTGAAACCAACTGTTATTATACACGTAATGAAATAGGTGAAGATTTCATTCAAGCTATGAAGATCCATCGCTACCAGATATCAATTCATAAAATATTTTACTAAAGTAAAAAAAAAAAAAAAATTTACTTAAGTATGGGAACTATCAGAATACAATGTAGATATCATGATCATCCTTAAATGTAGGTAACCACACTTAAGGGGGATAAAAGATATTACGATAAATTTCATATTGTAACTTATATAGTTATATGTTTTCTCATTTTTGGATTAGGACTTAACTT